TTATTTATTTTGACAGAGAGAGAGCACAAGAAGGGGGAGTGGCAGGCAGAGGTAGAGGGAGAAGCCGACTCCTCATTGGGGGTGGAGCCCAATGTGGGGCTGGATCCCAGAACTCCAGGATCATAACCTGAGCTGAAGGCCCAAATAAGCCACCAAGGAGCTCCTATAATGCATATTCTTGCATATTCTTAATGACACCCCATGGTAAACAAGGCCAGTCAAATTCTAATCAGATTTTGATATGAGATGGAACAAATTTCAACATGGAAAGCGCCAAGAACTAAAGGCAGCAGTATATTTTCACATAGTAGTTAAAAATAATCAAACCATCTTGTAGGGGCACAAATTATGTGATGTATGCATATTACATATAATTATATTTAATCATCTCAAAACTCTACAAAGTAGATACAATTATCCCCAATTCAGAGGAGATACTGAGAACCATGATGAAACTTGCAAGTTAATAGAACAATTATTACATTGAATAGAAATTCAAACCCAAGTGTCTGACATTCAAGTCTCTATTTCCCTCTACTACTATGCCTTCCTTTAGCAAGTAGAGCATTAGGAAGAAGGAAGCAAAGTGAAACTGTTTCTTTAAGCCACCTGACAATATGTTTGCCATCCCAACACTCATGCTAAACCTAAGAGAGACCAGAAATCAGAAAACCTGACTAAGCCAAAATCAGAAATCCAGATGCAGAAGTTTGTCCATGGGAAAGGAGCTAGGGACAGACACAGGGAAGGGAAGCCTAAGTAAACTCCTTGTCCCTCCACATAGGCACCGATTTTCTTTCTTAGCCCTAAAAGCCTCTACCATTACTTTTTACTCTTTAAAGTACCTGTGATGTAAAAAAAAAAAAAAAAAAAAAAAAAAAAAAAAAAAAAAAAAAAAGTACCTGTGATGTATTAAACCAGTAGCAGAAGTAGTTGATAACTATGTAAGCAACACATTTTTATTGTGAAGGTAAAAGTCAAGAGTGCTCTAAATGCTTCTCAAGAATTAGTTTTACATGTCTTAATACTTCGGCAATAATTAGTTGAATCTGTGCTGGTAATAATTCAATAACTGCTTATTCATATTTATACATACATGTATATATTCAAAATTAGTTAAGATTTTTGCTATGATTACTGTAAGCTCTAACCTCAACTGTTCTGAAACTCAACCAGAAAATTCAAATGAGTGGAATTACTTTTTTTTCCAAATATAATTGTTTATTTTGAGAAAAAAGAGACAAAGACAAGGAAGCAAACAACAAATAGAAATGTATTTTGAAATTTTTATTACTTTTATAGAAATCTGAGAATTGGCATACCCCATTTCCTTGGTAATCATATTACCTATACTAATTCACTCTATTGTGATTTGTTCTGGAGTATATCATTAATAGAGTAATGATTCAGCATAATGAAAGCTCTAAACTAACACACACACACACACACACACACACACACACACACGGAAAAATGTGTTTATTTTCAGGACCAAGAAGTAAATTTTGAATTAAAGCATAATTAAATTACTTTTAAAAATAATAATTATATAAGGGTAAATTGGGAGTCAGTAGAGAAAAGAGAGAGAAAACGAGGCAAAGAGAGCCCATCTAGAATGGCCAGGGGGCAAATGGCTTAACAACAGGCTAAAAAGAAAGGAGACTTAGTGGGGCCCTGTAGGGAGTCTGGACTTCTGTGCAGAGAGTTAACAGGAAGTCACTTAAGTTTTACCCAAGGGAGTTGGATGATGGGATTGACGCTTTTCAAGAGATCACTCTAGATGATGAAGGTAGGGGCAAGAATCAATAAGGGGAAAGAAGTTAAAAGACCACTGCAGTGTTTCTGCAGAAGTTGATGGTGGCTTAAAAACTGGTGGCAGTGAACACTGGGAGAAGCAAACACATTTTAGATAAAGGAGAGATCTATGTGTGAAAGAGCATGGATAATAAATAAATGAATCGTTTTAGAAAAACATTGACTTCCAAAAGTCCTTACATGGTGAAATTTTTTCTCAATAAACTGAGCAAGGCAACCCATCTTATTCAGCATTTGACAAAAATAAAAAAAAAAAAAGAAGGAAACATGACTTTTTTATTTATGTCCTTTTCCATGTACTGAAAAAAGACTTTCCAGATAAATGGTGCTTATGGCTTGAAAATAAATACTCTTACATCACTCGTACACTTAAAAATACATATATAACAAAGACTTTTTTTTTTAATAAAAAGGATGCCAGATTTTGTGAGTTTCCCTAATGTTCAAAATCATTATTACTTTTCTTAAATTCTTCTTTCTCTCCCAATTATGCCCTGTTGATTTCTTCACATGTACTTCTTAAATAGTTAATATATTTAAAAAAAATGAAACGTCCTTTAGATTCTGGGAAGTTTTAAGGAATATTTTCTTGAGATTTCTTTCTTATTTTCTTTCTTCAACATGCCCCTATATCCTGCAGATGGCCACCTTTCTTACTTCATAGAAGAGGGCGAGCAGGAATTCCTCAATTTACTGCCCTGCCCTGATTCCTCCAACATAATCTACATCACACCTATTATTTATGTCATCCAGTATCAGTGGAAAAGAGTCCTCCTTGCTAGCTTCCCTTACCTTGGTAGCAAAGTGTCCTTCACGTAATCTAATAGAGTGGAATTGGTTGACTGCTCTTCTGGATCTCATATCCTACAATTCCTCAGGTCACAGCTATAAAAATGATTCCCTTTTCTATGTTTCTAATCACTCTATTACTGGTTCTTCCCCATCAGCCTGTCCAGATTCCTGCTTCTTCCATTTCAAAACCACCCTTTCTAACAACTACTTAGTTTCTCTCCTTGCTTTATCGACTCTTAAAAAAAAAAAAGCATCAAAGGTTGTATATATTCCTCTGCTCGTTTGAAGTTTGGGTATTTCATTATCATGCCCATTTAATTTCATTTTTATGTTTAAGAAATAGTTAATACCATTATTTTAAAGTAAGCTCTATGCCCAGTGTGGGGCTTGAACTCACAACTCCGAGATCAAGAGTCACATGTTCTGCTGACCCTGCCAACCAGGTGTCCCATTATTGTACCCATTTTAAAGAGGACAGGATGGCTCAGCAAGTTTAAATCAACTTCTCTAAGGCTATATAAACTATAAAACAGTTTGGATAGAATTCAAATCAAGATATTCTCAAAGGTTTTACTTGCTTTGTAATATAAAGCTTAATGCCATCAATGTCATTAGATATAACTATTGCCTATTATGTGTTTGTTTGTTTTTTTAACAACATACATCATAAAGATTTGACCCATATCACTTAAAGAAATATATAGGAATAATTACAGAACAAAGTGACCTTTTAAAACACATGATGACTGTAGTATGTACACTACCTTTTCCCCCTAATTTTTAACATTATAAAAGTTGTTATGTAAATATAAAAGTATTTACTTCTGACAGTACTTTTAAAACACAACATAAATAGTACCAAAGTATTATGTGCATTTTTGTTTTATACTATAAAATAACAAATACAAAGACATTGTAATTTACACTAAAGGGAGTAAAAGTATAATATGCCTATTTATTTATTTATCCAAATTCAACTTCATCAGGAAAAGATAGTCCAAAGAACCAATACTACAGTTTAGAAGGGCAGTCTAATTGTACATAATCCAACAAAATAATGACTATTACCTCAACTAAGTAACATTAAGAACTACAAAAGTCTACCACACATAGTAGGTAATTCGTAGTTTGTTCCATCACATTATTTTTTCTAATATCTTAGCTATTCTTTTCAATTAGATGATTCCTTCAACAAAATTAACCACTTAATGTCAATACACTTTTGTCACTAGTCTTTAATGCAATACTATAAACATTCATTAAGGGCCTACTATGAGTAAAAGACTGTCAGGCACTAAATGTAGAAAGATGGAAAATGGGTGACATAGCTGCTATCTGAGGTAGTTCGAGAAGAATGTTCGAAAGTCACAGGTGACCTCATGAAAACTTCTGAAAGCACATTCATTTAAATAAAGACATTTAACTCAGTTAATACAGAGCATAGGCAAATTACATACAAATTGCAATTTAATATAGGATAAGTTAATGACTAACATACATCTCCACGTTACTATCTTTCTCAAATGTCACAGCCTCTGAAGGAACAAGATAAAATTTTTGGTTATACCGAGGAACTAGTTTTCATTTCAGAAAATGTAAATTCGCTTCCTTTTGTATATATATAAAAATACTACTAGAATGGAAAGAATGTGAATATTTTCCTATCTCTATGTGGCAAGGGGTTTCTGAGCATAGAAAAATAGAATTTGGGTTAAAGGACAAACCTTGGAAGTTAAAAGATGGCTGAATAGATAGTGAGAGACTTTTGGAGTGATTTTCCTCCCAAGAGGAAAATGTTAACATTTCAAAGAGGGTGAAGGCCTGGAGCTATATATTTATACACCATAGGCCTGATTTTACATTAGGGAGTTGAGTTTTGTCTTCTTTTCTCAGAAGGAGAGGAGGGCAGCTGTATAAGAGCTCCTCCACAAATGCCCAGATTAATAATCTTGGGGTTCCTCTCTTGTGGTGTAAAATCTCCCTTTTAAGTACTTGCAGGTGCCACCATCTGACTCTCTTCACATTGCTCCTGAGGGGAAATGGAGTGTCAGGAAACTGATACAGCTATTGGTCCAAGAAACAACAGTCTGCCCAGATACAGAAACCTTGTATTTGCTTTCAGGACAAAATAATAAATGCACATACTAAAATCTTATCGTGTTGCAAATCAGAATTTAGGGTAAATCTTTTTTTTTTTTTAAGACACAGCTTCATTATACTGATTTTCAAGCAGATCAAGTTACCTCAGCAGTCAATAAATGATCTTATTGAGCAAAAGACAACACACTGATCCTCTTCATTTTGTCACAAGATTTCAATGGAATTAAAAGTTGGGATTATTTAGAGTTCCAAAGTTAGGTTGGCTAGAGAAAACAAGAAGAAAAATGACTTACTTGATATTATCAAGGCAGCCCGATTCAGGTTTCAGAATGGCAGTATGATGAAACATTTTATATAGAGCAATCCCAAGGAAGATTACATTAAGCTGCAATGTAAAAAATACTATTATGTAGCGTAACTGGAATAGAAGAAAAAAAGTAAGTCTATTCTCCATAATAGATGAGTTGTTCTGGGAAATTAGCTCTCACTATACTTATAAAGGAATTTGATCATAGATGATTGCCTGGTATTTTAGTAAAGGCAAGAAGCCACTTTAGGGAATTGGGATACCAATGAGTTACACAGTGCTATTATGTGAAAATACATACAAATACAAAATAGCAGCAGTTGGAATGATGCTGTGGAAACTGTAAAGAACTCAAAGCCAAGTAGATGTTTATATATATATATAAAACATATATGTGTGTGTGTGTGTGTGTGTGTGTGTGTGTGTTACTATTTTTACCATCTGAACATGGCCCCAAATTTGTTATTTAGGGATATATTTTGAAATGCTATATTACAAAATCATAATTACTAAAATCAATATATTTTTGAATAGCTAGATCAAAAGGATTATAAAATGGTGGTTAAATTCTAATGCTACAACAAACTAGGATTAAAGTCCAGGAAACTCTTAGCAATACTGAATACTGTCTTTTCATTGGAAGCAGAGAAGGCATAGAACTTAAAACAAGATAAAAAGTTCCAGTGTGAATTTCATACATCACATATATGTAAACCACACACTGAATTGCCCTTTGTGACCTGGTTTGTTTCTATGTTCTAAAATTTAGGATTGGTGGGGACTATCAATAATACAGTTCTATAATCCTTTATCAAATCTCAAAAGTCTGAAAAGTGAACATTTTAAGAAATTCATTGTGTGGTGAAAAAGCCTAACCTTACCTAAACCCATTTGGTGGGAAAACCTGATTAGTACTGATGTAAGGCTCTTTTGTCTTTATTCCACTTACTCTTACTTTTCCAATTTTTTTTCCTGTTGAATTATTACTGTGTTTGGTTTCAGAGTCTTGCCTAGTCCCTACTGTGTGTATTGGTTGATGTGTTTGATTTGGGACAACTGCTTATTCTCTACTAGGAATATTATATCCTGTGCACTACGTGTACCACATTATCTTTCTGAAGTCTGAAAACTTTCTGAATTCTAAAATATACTTGCTTCAAGGGATTTCAGATAGTGAATTGTAGACCTGTAACTAATTTCAAATCAAGAGCCCATTTTATTTTTAAAAATGGAGAACAATTTTGTATTATGGAATGATAAGTACATAAATAATACCAAAAACAGAATCTAAATTAGGATAAAAAATTTGTATTTGAAATCAAGACATTGTGCATCTAAAAACACAAAAGGAAGTATGATTCCAGAATGCTTGCTTAACTTATTTGTGCCATTTTCAAGTGAAATCCTTTTAAATTTTAAAGTTTTTGAGATTTATACAAAAAAAAAAAAGCTGGAAGGAATAATAAGATATAGTGTCTTGTTTCCAATATCTGATTCCACTCATAGTTCAAATTATCCATATGAAAAAGAAAGGAAATACATTGTTGTGAAACTTCAAGTCATCACTGAACCAAATGGCTTCTGTGGGGCGGGCTCCTAAGGAGCCATGGTACTACATAAGCATTTGCAAATGCATGTTTTCTTCGCCAACGTTTTTGATTAAGCATTTTACAATATAAAAGTAGAATCTAATGGGGATCTAATTGCTTGAGACATATAGGGTCATATAAGTAGATGCTTTCCCCCAAATAATCTATATAAATCAAAGATAGTCAGTGCAAGGAGAGTGGAAGTTTTATTTCTTGACCTGGGAAACACGCAGTTAATGAGGAGTTCTTACCATAATTATCAAGGTCGCTGGTCCTATAAAGCTCCAAATGAAGTAGGTGTCAAGTCGGAGCCAACATCTGCAATGAAACACAAGGGAGAGAATGCATTCAAGGACTGGGTATGGGCCATACATCAAGAGTGAGCGAGTGACAGAGAAGAATGTGAGCTGCAAAGCATTCCACTGGGAGACAGGAAATATTACATTGCTTGTTCATTTAAATGCTGAATTATGTGCCCAATTTCTGACAGCACTATTGATGGAGTAAGATAATTACTCCTGGAGGAAGCAGGGAAAAATGGCAGTAGGCCTATTTGCTAAGGCCTTTTGTGTCTGTCATAGAAACCTTAAAAAAAAAAAAAAAAAAAAAAAAAAAAAGGAAAAGAAAGAGAAAAAGCCATACACAGAGCCATTAAATCGAGTAGCTTTAAGCTATCCTTTTCTCTCCAATTATGGTGCTACATAACCTGTCTATCAGCTGTCAGGCAAAGTGACATTTTCCTGTCAAGAAGATCTGAGGAAATTCAGTACAAAGAAGAAATAAATTTGGTATCAGAAGATTGAAGTTTAATTAGGTTGGGCAGCCAACCTTTGAGAGTTCTTGAGTCTTAAAAAGTGCATTGTTACTGCCAGCGCTTCTGGGGTTGCAAATGATCCTTAGCATCCCGTGAAGTTGATTCATGACCCAAAAGTAAATTATTAATCACTTAATTTCAGTTACATTTAATACTCTCCCAATTCTTAAAGCCTCTGGGAAATTACATTTTCATTCTTCAGGATGACAGGAAGACAAAATGGAAGTGACTAGTTATGAGAAAGATTAATGTAAATTTTGAACAAATTACATTTGATGTTAAAAATCATATCTTGAATTATTTGCCATTTTGCTATATTTGACGTACAATTAAAAAAAAAACATCTCCAGTGGAAAATATTCAAGAGTGGTCTGCTAGGTGGTCTAAAACTGAAAATCCAAAGTATATAAATATTTCTTGATTATTATGAAAATGTTACTTAAACCTCGGAATGAATGGAATAGCAGATATACTATAAAGAAAGGAACTTATCAACGTCCATCAGTAGATCACTGGATCAATAAAACGTTCTTCCCTTTGTCTGATGAAATGTTGTAAAATAGTTAAAAGGGAGAAGGTGGATCTTTACATGTCAATAAGTTAGATCATGATAAGGAAGTGTAATGAAAAAGTAACATGAAGCATCTATGCCATATATGATACGTCATATACCTTTGAACATACAGTTGACCCCTGAACCACTAGAGCTTGAGCTATATGGGTCCACTTACATGTGGATTTTTTTCTCAGTCAATACAGCACAGTATTGTAAGGGTATTTTCTCTTCCTTAGGATTTTCTTATTAGTAATATGTAGTTTCCTTTAGTTTACTTTATTATTATAAGAACAGAATATACATATATATATATATATATATATATATATATATATATATATAACATAAAATACAAGCTGATTGACCATTGATATTATTGGAAGGCTTCTGTCTGGTCAATAGTAAGTAAGTAGTTAAGTTTTAAGGGATCAAAAGTTAGATGTGGATTTTGAACTGCATGGGGTTAGTGCTCATAGCTGTTCAAGCTACATATTAAAAATAATACTCATATGCTTGAAAGATACACATATGTATTTTTTTTAATTGAAAGGGAGAAAAAATCAAACTCGTGTTAGTTAGTGGTTGCCTTTCACACGAGAGTGAAAAGACTAAAAAGTCAACCAAAGGGGCTTAACCATATGTTTTATTTAAGTACTTACTGGAAGTGACATGCCAAAATACAGCAGTGTAACATTTGAGTGACAGTGTCAGTGATGTTTATTATGTTTTTCTTTTTACTTTTCTGTAACGTAATTTTTTTTAAAAAGGTTAAAACCTAGATTCTTAGGCAAAACAAAAATAATCATATACCCTGAAAAACACAATTTTAAAACAAATTAGGACTTTCGTCTACTAAGTTAAATATATGTAAACTAATTTCAATAGAAATATAATATTTGTACTCCAAAAAGAGCCTGATTACTAGTTCACATTTTTTACATAGGCAGATGATTTCTGTTTATTCAAGATATACATAATAATACTATTTGAAAAAAACGCTATTATAGGGAATAAATCAATACTTAAACTATTAGCTATTAGTTTGAGTAGGTATCTTCCTATTGGTCTGTTGTTCTGAAAATATGGTCATGGAAAGTAAAAATGTGGTGCTGCTAATAAGCAGAAACAAACTAGAAAATTTAAGTTTGAAATATGAACTATTATCTTCATGCTGACCATAGGCTAGTTTGTTATCACTCTAATAGAAGTGTGTCTAAGTGTGGAGGGGGAAGCAGGGGAAATGTTCGAGTCTCTCTTGGTTCTCAACAAAGACAATATTTTCCCTCAAGGTAAGAACAATAAAAGACAAAGCATGGACATTTCCCCAGATTAAAACACACACACACACACACACACACACACACACACACACACACTCCAAGAATACTGCTGAAATTATACGATGATACAATACTAATAATAAAATTGAAAATGAACCTTACTAGTATAGCTCCTGTTCTTTAGTAGGTCAAACAAGTTTTTGAGAGCTAATCTGAGAAGCAAAACACATTTTCAGCAAATTCTTTTTAAAGGAAAATGTGCTTCAAGAATTTCTGGAAAATGTTATTCTATAGGTTAAGGGCTTCTTATACAAATAATTTAAGGTATATTATTACAGAGTGTCTTGGAAAAGGTAGGGGATTTTAAAATGTTAAATAATCTCACCAAATGTGTTGTTAAAATACAACGTTATTAAATTTTAGCCTTAAAAAGCTTTTCTTTTTTGAAAACAGTTTCAGCAAATGCTTGGTTAGAAATAAACATGCTTTTGGCATAATGATCATTAAATGTAGAACTGAAATTACCTTAAAATTTATTATTTTTTATTTTTTAAGAAAATGCTTCAATATCTATTTGGTGTAAGAGATTTAAGTTCCCTTTGGAATTGAACAGTGTAAGAGGCAATATGAAACACTTAAAATATACTGAGTAAATCATCCCTCCACGAGTGCTGCCTGGGTTTGACTATCTTCTGGAAGGCAGTGTGGCAAAAATCCCTTTTCTAATTCGATTGCCATATGGCCACACCTGCTGTTGTTTTTGGCCACATGCTGGCTTTCGCAGAGCTTTCCACAGTTCCTCTCTTTCCCATTAACTACCTTAAAAGTTTGCCTGATTCCTTCTCTGAATTCCCTGTGCCAATGTTGAAAGAATGCACCATGGCTTTAAGGTAAAGGACAATAATACGTGGGATGTTTATTCCTTGCATGGGCACCTATATCCCACATCATGGTGTTCCATAAGTCTAGGCCATTCAGTATCACTTGGATATAGCAAAAATGCTAGAGGAACACATGATTGATTACATGAAGCGCAATAAAGTCCAGCTTGCAAATGGCCAGATAGACCTGCTATTGTAGGATATAATTTATCTAAAAATTACCTTTATCACTAAAGTAACATTTAATTTGTGAAATCAATAATCTCATAGACCATTCTTGTTAATTTTTAAGATATGTCAATTCCTTTTTTTAATGAAATTCGGTTATATGAGTACAATTTATAGAGTGTGCTTATAGCAGTACTTTAATAAAAGAGATGACTTGCAGTTAAAAAACAAGTACATTCTGGCCTCACTAGAGTGCTTATTTGAAGTAATACTGAAAAATCTTCATATATCTTGGAATTCAAAGGAACACTTGTCATGTATCGTAAGCCTTGACTTTTTTTTCCACTTGCTTAAATACAAAGATGTCACAAAAATTCTTTTTGTAGCTTTTTTTCTTCAAATTGTAAAAGCTGCATATACTGTTATATATTTGATGAAGTCTTACTACATTAATACAAGTTTATTGATTTAATATTCCAAAGAACTGGTGCTAATCCAAAAGGATGTATTACTACTCTCTTCCAGAATTGTCTTCTAAAATATAAGAAACATTACTGCAAATTAAATAATAAAGTGTTGATATCTGGATCAGTCTTCCTCAAAGATGTCACTTACCAATCCAGCAGGTATCACTTTCATGTTTACTCAGAAAAGAGAAAAATACGATAATGTAACAACTTAATTTCTCAAAACAAGACAGCTGAAAACCATACTTCTAAAGCTTATTCTCTTCTATTAAAATACTCACCACTTTATTTTCTCATAATTTAAAAATGTATGGTTCTGTACATAGAAAAATGGTAAAGCCAATTACCAGACTCTTATTCCAAGTTAGCATGTTTAATATATTGCCATTAAAATGCTTTGGGTCTTTGTATTTTTGTTGCCTGTTTAACTCAAGCTTATCAAAGCAGACATCTGACTATTTGCCAGTTTTCTGAAATAACAGAAGTTAAAAATGGTGTTTGCTTCCTTTTCTATAGGACCCTAAGTCTCAGACTGACTCATCCTTGGTGAGTTTAAATATAGCCAGTAAACAATCTTTGGCTACTACTAGACCATAAAATTTACAAGGCTTAATTATATCAGGTTATGAGAGCTTATATAATACATAATCTTTTTTTCTCTGTAACATATGCAGATCTCTTTATATTTCTGTAACATAGATCTGGCAAAATTGGGAAAGAAAAGAAGGAATAAAGAGTACTGGGACAAGAAAAAAGGAAGAGAAGAGGAATAGGGACAAATATATACTTCAAGCATAGTAACTCCAGTTCCAAGCTTACTGCGTAATATGTTAAGTTCCTTTAACGCCATTTTCATCACAGCACACTCATGCATCTAATCTTGAAATATTGTGTGAGCAAGTACACGAACTGGAAAAAATACTGGCAGAGTGATGCAGGAATGGAACGTGATCAGTGGTAGTCAAGACTAGTATTTGTGGTTCAACTACAGTTTTAGATCTTAGAATTCAAAACTAGATCTCATACATAAAATACAGGTTATGTTGTCTTCATGTCCCCAATATGTTATTTTGTAAACAAAAAAAAAATGTTTTTCTTCAGCAAAATGCATCCTACATTTTTATGGTGAACTACAAAGGTTAGAAAATCACT